AAATCTTAAAAGAATAAAATAAAATAAAAAGTGAAGCTAAAAAGGCACGGTTTAGAAGAAAAATTAGTGCCAAAACAGAATGCACTATGAAACACCATTCTCAGTAGCAAAGAAAGTAAAATTCGATCTTGAAAGACTACCACCATTATCATCACTCCAACGCTTCAGAGAGAAACAGAGAAACTAAGAGCTCAAACATGGCGACAAGATCAACACTCCGACCCAACCTTCGATCTCGTCCGCAAATGGGTTCGGTTCTATTTTCATCTCCTTCATTCTCTCGATATCGTCTCATCGTTCATCTTTAAATTCCGGTTTGGTTTCTGATGACAAAGATGTTGCGTTTAGTGTTGTTAGAAATGGGTCACAAATCTTTTTAGGAAAAAGATGAGCTAAAAAAAAGGGTCTTAGTTTGTTTGGCTTTGTTTTCCGAAGGAGAGGATTTGGAGTTGTAAGATTTGGGTTTCGTGGATTTGATTGGAGGAAAGAGGAGATGAATAGTGTCTTAGATTAGGGTTTTCTGATATTGAAGAAGATGAATAGTAACAATGGGAGGCGGCCGTTTTTTTAGGGTTTCTCTCCATCAAAAAGATGATAAATAGTGTAATCTGTATATACTATGAAAAACCACGTGTTCCCCTGTTTTGTCCTTTCTTGCCTTTTTTTCCTTCTGATTTTTGATTAATAACAAACTAACTTAATATTCTAATTATTCTAATAAAAGTCATAATTCTAATAATAACTCTAACTTAAAATCTAAATCTATGTAACTATTCTAAACTATTAAATTAAAATCCTAATCAAAACTATTCTATAAAAAAATCTATTTCTAATAAAAATTCTAAAAATTAATTAACTAATCATTTAATTCTAATTTCTAAAATCTAAATTCTAATAATAATAATAATAATAATAATAAATCTAATTAATTTTAAAATAATTCCTAATAACAATTCTAAAATTACTAACTTAAATCTAAAATCCTAAAATATCTCTAAAATTACTAACTTAAATCTAAAATCCTAAAATATCTCTAACATTACTAACTTAATTTTAAAATCCTAAAATATCTCTAAAATTAAATCAAATCTAATTAATTCTAATACTAAAATGATTCTAAAAACAAATTAATTCTATGCTATAAAAATAATCTATCTCTATTCTAAATAAGAAAAACTATTTCTAATAAAAATTCTAACTAAATTAAAATTCTATATAAAAACTATTATAATAGAATCTATTCTAAAGAAAAAAAAATAACTATTCTAATTCTAAAAAATGTCATAAAACAAACTATTTGAATTAAATAAATGATAAAATAAAAATATGAACAAAAATTTAATATTTGAAAAGAAAAATGAGAAAATGAAAATAGAAACAAAATTTACCAAAATGCCCTTAGGCCACGTGTCACGCTTCTACTGGACAAAAAATAGTCAAGATCTGAAAAACGCACAATCGGGGTGGACACGTGTCTAAACGGCGTGAAAAATGTGAAATAAAAAAAATGCAAAAATATTTACAAAAGCTGGCGGGCAAATTTGGGGTATGACAGCGACGACGGTCCCCTCCACGTCGATGGCTCGAGGCTCCATCGTCCCGGTGCCCGCGGGGGGCCTTCCTGTCTCGGGTGTCTCGAGCGGAGTTGGCCGCTTGTGTTTCTTCGAATCGGATATAATGCGCGACTATGTTGAGGAAATCTTGGAGGGATGTTGGCCGGTGTATGCCTACGGCCTCGTAGAACTTGGAGTCGTGGCGTAGGCCCTGTTCCATTAAGTAGCGCTTCATCTCGTCTGACGACGTCAATTGCACTGCTTCTCGAGTGAATCTTTCAATGTACTTTCGGAGAGGTTCGTCGGGGCCCTGGATGATCGCCCCGAGGACGGCTTCTGTCTTCGGGTGGCGTCGGGACGCCGTAAAGTGTTTGGAGAACAGGTCCTTTAAGACTCTCCATGACGTAACTGATTCGGGCTCCAGACTTTTATACCAGGTCATGGCGCCTTTCCTCAGAGTCGTCGGGAAGAGCCTGCACTTGATAGCTCGTCGTACGTTTCGGTAGTCGAGCATGGCCTCGATGTCCTCTAGGTGATCGTCCGGGTCGGAGGTGCCGTTGTACGTCGACAGCGTCGGGGGCTTCTCCATCCCTTGGGGTATGGGGGCAGCCATGATTTCTCGGGACAGCGGAGTGCGGTAATCGTCCTCGTCGCTGGGTGCCAGGGACCGATGGGGAGACGAACCATTCAAACTGGGGCCTTGGTTTCGGGTTCTCGACCCCCTGCCTGGGTTTTCGCCTCGGGGATCCCCGGTCGGGATCGTCGCGGTGCTCTGGTTTCTCTCGCGAACGCGCCTTACTGGGGACCTGGTGCGTTCTCGCGCTACCTATGCGCGGTGTCTTTCCAGCCGCGGCCGGCGATTTCTGGGTCGAGGTGAGGGACTCCTCGAACCTCCGTCCTGGTCTTCCCGCGGGGGGTACCTCGGAGGGCCGACGCGTTCCAATGCTCCAATTCTCGCGTTTTACTGGGACAACAGCTGGTTCGTCTGGTTGATGGCCGTGAAGAGGGCGGCCACCGTCGGGTCCGCTCCCGCCGGGATGGGGACGGGTTGGAATGCTGGCGGGCCTGGGGGCCGGTGGTCGGCCTGAAGGGGCCGTTCTGTGGATGACGGTGAGGCAGTTTGGCCGTCCCTCTCGTCGGTTTCCGCCGGACGCGTCGTTTCCGTCTGCTTATTTCCGTTGGTGGCGACGTTGAGCGCGAGGTCGTGCGGAGTGTCGTCGCGGTGTGGGCTAGCCATGATCGTGGAGTGTTGGTGAAACTTTGGTTTTCTGCTCGGAGTAACGGGGAAGTTTCTTTTCCCACAGACGGCGCCACTGATCTGACCTGATCAGAAGGGGATCACAGGCCGGCCACACGCTGTTGGACTGCTGATTGCTCGCCGGTGATGAGGAAGAGAAGGGGGGTGTACCTGCAAAACACTCCGATGGCAAAGTGAGAAGTTGGGCGGAGCGATGGCGAAGTACAGAAAAAGGGGTAAGAAGTGTGTTACCTGACCCTCTTGAGGAAGAGGGTATTTATAGAGAGACCCCAGCGCTGGGCCAACGGTCATTTGAGGTGGACTGGATGACCAGACCCAACCCTAATGACTGTTAGGGCTTACGTGGCGTAGAGAAGACCAGAACGTGGTCTTCGCCCTAGTCCAACTGTCCCGTGATCACCGGAAAGTGGGTTTGACCTGCTCTTTCGGAGGTGAGCAGTTGGGAGATGACGTGTCCCCGCGGAGGGGAGCACGTGGAGAACGTGCGTCGGGCACGTTGTTCTCCCTGCGGAGGGAAGCTCGGGAGGCCCTCCGGAGGTACGTTGTTCTCCATAAGGGGAACGCGAGGATGTGGAGGACCAAAGGTCTCGCTCGACGGACCGGGGTGTGCCCTGTTCGGCCGATAAGAGAAGACGTTGAGATGCTGTCGGACGCGTCGTTTATCCCTGGGGGGCGTGCCCTGCCCGTCCTATGGGACGCGTGTGCCCGGTCAGGCTAGTTTACTTATTGGGCCGTGTGTGGTATTGGGCTGGACCGAGGTTGGGCCCAGGCCAGAACATGTTCCCACCGTTGCTTTTCCCACGTGTTTTACTTACGTCGCAAATGTTGTTTAGTGAAGTGTTTTTTGCATTAATGACGTGAAAATCATTTGGGAGGTATATAGTATATTATACTATATACACCATTTGTTGAGGTATATGAGGTATATAGTATACTATAAAATTGTATTTTTTTTATCAAATAGCTAATAACTTGTTTGTAGTAAACACAAAAAATTAATATTTTGAAAACTATTCATTTATTAACATGTTCATGCAGCACATTAATAAAAAAAACTATTGACTTAATATTAATACTAATAATAATAACAATAATAATAATTATAATTATAATTATAATAAAATTATAGTTATAATAAAATAAAAGCATGATAATAATAAAAAAATGGTTGAATATTAACATTCTAGAAAACAGAACATTGATCTGGGTACATTCTTATTATTTTTCATATAAATTATAGCACTGTGAAAATGATAATACCAAGATTTTTAATGAAAAACATCTAACAATTGATATCAAAATAATAAGAGGGGGCGAGGGCGGCCGAAAACCACGGTGCCACCGTCACCGGAAATTAACACTAGCTTGAAGACACCTGAGCATGAATCCCCTGTTAATGTTCAGACCCCTGAGATTGAACCAAGAACTACCACTGGAGAAGACAAAGATATGACAAACACAATGGCGAAGGAGAACAAGAAAACCCTAACAGATCTGACACAACCACAACCTGAAGAGCGTAAACCATGGGTTGATGCTATCAATGACAACCGGAACCCTGCAAAAGGAATGGCAATAGAGTATGTTGTGCCAAAGATCGTCAATGGAATGATTGGAATTGATATTGAACAAGAAGATATCGAAACGGAAATACAATTTTGGGATAATGCTCTAATCTTTTATGTGGTGGGGGCGACCTGAGTATGAACATGGTGAAGAACTTTATGCAGAGAATGTGGAATTTCGTGAAGATGCCAGATTTGTATTACCACGACGACAACTATTTTCTGCTCAGATTTAACTCCCAGGAAGACAAGGAAGCAGTCATGATGAAAGACCCATACACGATTCGGAACATGCCCGTGATATTGAAGGAATAACACACTGGTTTCAACTTAAAGAAGGATCTGATAAGAACTTTACCAATCTGGATCAAACTTCCCCAACTTCCCCTGCATCTATGAGGGGCCAAAAGTCTCAGCAAAATAGGAAGTGCTATTGGCAAACCGTTGGTGACTGATGAATGCACTGCAAATAAGCTTCGTGTCTCATATGCAAGACTATTGATTGAGGTAGACATTACACAACCCTTGACTGATGAAATAGCCATTAGAAATGTTGAAGGCGATATAATGATGCAGCCTGTGAAGTATGAATGGAGACCAACATTCTGTGAAACATGTCAAAAAATGGGGCATAAATGTGAAGATCGAGGGAAGAAACAACAATGGAAACCAAAACTCAAGCCACCAGAAATTCCCATGAACACAATGCTTGTTAAGCCACCAGAAACTTCCACGAACATAACACCTGTTATATCACCAGAAAGAGAGGAGACAATAGGAACAAGAAGGGGTTCTTGGACAAGAGCACGGAAGTCTGTACGAGATAAAGGCAAAAACATCATGACTGATACTTACAACAACATCAACTGTAACAATGGTTTTGATGCACTTGAGGTTTTGAATGACCATGAAGTGACCATAAACTCTGAACCATGTTAGTCTCATGGAACATAAGGGGGCTCAATAAAGTAGGCAAAATTCGTGAGATTCAGTCCCGTCTCCAAGAACTAAAGCCTACTATTATTATTTTGATTGAAACCAGAGTTAAAGAAGCTAAAGCCAAGACCATTCGAGAGAAACTAATGATATATGATAATCACATTGACAATTACAAAGACCATACAAATGGTAGATTTGGATTCACTGGGATAGTAACAGAGTAAATGTGAAGTTCTTGCGTAGTAGCAGCCAATATATTCACTGTGGCATCTATGATATTTGTGGCAATTTCAAGCACTGGCTAACTGTTGTTTATGCTCATAATCAACTAAACCAAAGGAAAACCTTGTGGACAGATATAGAACACATATATGGTAGCATCCAAGGGCCTTGGTGTGTTATTGGAGATTACAACAATATAACCAAATCCCAAGACAGAATAGGAGGAAATCTAATTACTGAAAGAGAATATGTAGACCTGACAACAATGATGGAGCATACAGGTTTAAGTGAAATGGATAGCATTGGAGATCATTTCACATGGTCCAATAAACAAACAACTGGTCCCATCTACTCAAGACTTGATAGGGTTTTAGGAAATACTGATTGGTTCCTCACCAACATGGAGACTACTCTAAAAGTCCTCCCACCTAATATCTATGATCATGCCATGCTTTATCTGGTATATCATCAAGAACATAGGAAACCCTCCAGACAGTTTAAATTTAGCAATTGCATTATAGAGCTGCCAGGTTATGATACTTTGGTAAAGAAGAATTAGGATGGCCATATTAGAGGTAGTTCAATGTTTGTTCTTTGGCACAAACTCAAGAGATTGAAGCATGGTTTAAAGCAATTCAGCAAACCTCTATCTGATATTAAAACCAAACTGATATCTACTAGAAATACCCTAGAAGAAACACAAGAACAACTGAGGAATGACATAATGAACACCAACTTGATTGGGAAAGCAAAAGACCTGAATGAAGCAGTGATATCCCTGAATGAAATGGAATGGAAGATTCTACACCAAAGAGCTAAGATTGACTGGATTAGGAAGGGAGATGGCAATAATCAGTATTTTTATGCTGCTATCAAAGGCAGACATTACTCCAACTGCCTTAGCAACCTGAAGAAGAGTGATGGCAGCCAGATAACAACCAAACCAGACATTGAAGATGAAGTGATTAAATTCTACAGCAACCTAATGGGCAAAGATGTTGAGACCATTAATCATATTGACATAGAGGCTATGAGGATGGGAAAACAACTTGACATAGACCAAAGGGAGTACCTTACCAGACCCATATCAGAAAATGACATTACCAAAGCCCTTAAAGGAATTGGAGACCTCAAAGCACCAGGGATGGATGGTTATGGAGGCATATTTTTCAAAGCCAGCTGGTCAATTATAAAAGCTGATGTGATAACATCTCTTAAGGAATACTTTGAAACAGGTAAACTATACAAAGCTTTCAATGTTGTCGTAGTATCCTCGATTCCTAAAGACCATAATGCTTGTGAAATCAAAGACTACAGACTTATAGATGTCTGCACCACTTTCTATAAGATTATTTCCAAGATTCTGACTGACAGACTAGGAACTGTCATACCAAGTGTGGTAAACCATAATCAAGCAGCCTTCGTACCAGGTCAGAACATCCATAATCACATCATGCTTGCTACTGAATTGCTTAAGGGCTACAGTAGGAAAGGAGGAACACCTAGAATCATGATGCAATTAGATCTGCAAAAAGCATATGATATGGTTAATTGGAAGGCTTTAGAGTGCATCATGAATGAGATGGGATTCCCTAACAAATTCATCCAATGGATTATGCTAGGCATCACCACTGTTTCATACAAATTTAATATCATGGGGGAATATACTGATATACTACAGGCTAAAAAGGGAATTCGGCAAGGTGATCCTTTATCACCTATGCTCTTTGTCCTTATAATGGAATATATGAACAGAATGTTGGTGAAAATGCAAAGAGACCCTAATTTCAACTATCATGCCAAATGTGAAAAGCTGAAAATCACAAACCTCACTTTTGCAGACGATGTACTGCTATTCTGCAGAGGCGACGACATATCATTGCAGATGATTCTTCGAACTTTCATGGATTTCTCCAATTCCACGGGGTTGATTATGAACCCTAACAAATGTAGGATTTATTTTGGAGGGCTGGACAATGAGAAAAGAAGGATGATGAAGGAGTTGTCGGGTTTCCAAGAAGGAACGCTTCCTTTCAAATACCTAGGAATGCCTCTCTCTGGCAGGAAATTAAACATCAACCTTTTTATGCCCTTGGTGGATAGAATTGTGGCTAGAATTCAACATTGGTCATCTAAACTTCTAAGTTATGCCGGAAGAATTCAATTGGTGAAAAGTATAGCTGCAATGGTTCAGTACTGGCTGCACTGTATTCCCTTGCCCAAATCTGTGATCAGGAAAATTGACTCCATCTGTCGCAGTTTCATCTGGACCGGTAAGGATACGGTGAGCAGAAAGTGCCCTGTGGCATGGAAACACACTTGCTGCCCTGCAACGCAGGATGGGATGAACCTGATAAATCTGCAGATTTGGAACAATGTATTACTTTTGAAGTGTTTAGGGAATCTGTGCAATAAAACTGATACTCTTTGGGTGAAATGGATCCATATTCACTACCTAAAGGGGAACCATGTGATGAATTATGCTAGCAAAAATCACAACTCTTGGATCATGCGCGGTATTTTGAAACAAAGACATATCATGGATTTAATACGGAATGAATGGGATCAACTTCTAACCACTCATAAGTTTAAGGTGTCGGTGTTTTACAAAGTAATGATTGATGATGGCACAAGGGTTGTTTGGAGAAACTTGATAAGATCCAATAAGAGCCGACTGCGAGCAGTGTTTTGTTTATGGCAAACTTGCAACCAAGGATAGGTTAAAGCGTTTTGGTATGATTAAGGACATCACACGCAGGTTATGCCACACCGAAGAGGAGACGATGAATCATCTGTTTTTCTGCTGTCTAGGGACAAGACACATATGGAAGAAAGTGCTCCAATGGTTTAACATATATCATGAACCTCAATCTTGGGAGGCAGAGTTGATCTGGATCAGTAACATGACAAAAGGAAAAGGTTGGAAAGTGGATGTTTTGAAAATGTTAGTGGCTGAAACCATCCACAGCATCTGGGGTTATCGTAATAGTATTATTTTTGGAAACACGGTAGATAATACAACCATGGATACTAACGTTATAGATAATGTGATCTATAGAGGGTGGCAAAACCTTAAAATTAGGAAGCATCTTGTTAGTTTTATGATGTAAGTTGAGTCCTTTTGGTGGGTTGGATCCTCCGGGATCATTTAATTTTGTATTAACTATTTTTGAATTAATATATTCTTCTTTTAATTCAAAAAAAAAAAAATTACCGATATTACGATTTTAATGATTGTTTGATATCGAATTATTTTAATTAGAGATAATCATTTGCATTGTATAATATGAAATATCCATTTTGTTTTGGGTTTCTGTTTGAAAATAATAATGTGGCAATTTAAAAAAATTATGAAATTTTCATACTGTGTTAGAGTATGTGTTTGAGTACAATGCGTGAAAATTCAATATGTGTTTCACTTCAATGCATTATGATAGACGTTATCATACACAGATTTTATTGCTAAGTGCCTTATCTTGAATGATTGTATAAAAGTATCATCATTTTCCAAGCAGTGTTAATTATATTAAAATTTTGTTTGTTTACTTATTTATTTATTCTCTGACAATTCTGTACGAAAAGAACTACGTTTCAATTATAATCTGTTCTGAATGTTATGGAAATACTGTGTTGAATTTGATTAACATATATATATATATATACATGAATTTCATGTTACTGTTTTATTAACACGATAAAAGAAACACGTGGCTCATAGGTGGCAATGCTTCTTGAACAGGTAGCATATATATAAATTAATTAAAGATAATGAATAAGTGAAAATATGCAAATCTTTTGTTTGTTTTGATAATGAATGATTAAAATATATAATTAAAAGTAAGTTTTGTTTCAGAATAATAATTTTTTCAAAAATTGTTTGATTTGAATAGTAAATATTGTTAATATAAATTGGGCCTGTATAATGAGATTTTTAAAATAAAAAACATGTTTTAACCTGTGATAGTATCTAAATAATTTTTGTTTTCAAATATATTATGTGAAAGCAAGAGATGAATGATATTGCATAAATGACAAAATTTATGTGTTGCGAAAGCTTTATGCACAGTAAAAGCAGTATGTTTTGTTTTTCTATTAATGTACACAATTGCACAATGTTACAAATTTATAATAATTTCAAAATTAAACATGAGCATCTCAAGGTATGTTAATGTAATTATTTTATTATTTTTATTTTAGAATTGTTATATTAAAGAAAATTTGTTAATCACAAAGTGATCAAATTAATTAAAATTTGTAATTTCAAATTATGCAATTGAGTGGTGATTTATATGCTATATTGTTTGTGCTATATGAATTGTTTATGTATGATGAAATTTATCATTATAAAACATATAAAGATTATTCAAAGATGAATCATGATTTATAATTACCACGCAAGTATCAGAATGGCTCCTTATGAAGTTTTGTATGGGAGGAAATGTAGAACACCTTTGTGTTGGATGGAAGTTGATGAAGAACGAATTTTAGGACCAGAAATTGTTCAAGAGACTACGGAGAAGATAAGAATGATTCGTGATAAGGTAAATAAAGACAAGATCGTCAGAAGTGTTATGCATATTATAGAAGAAGACCAATAAAATTTGGGGAAGGTGACCATGTATTTCTAAAGGTTACTTCAAGGTTGAGATTGAAAGGACCGTTTAAATCGCGGAAGTTAAGTCTGAGATACGTAGAACCATATCATATTATAGAGAGGATTTAAGAAGTAGCATACAGATTATCCTTACCATCTTCTCTATCTGAGATGCTTGATGTTTTTCATGTGTCTCAACTTCAAAAATTCATTCCTGATTCTTTCCAGCCTAATCTTCCAAATTCATGGGAAGTAGAAATAGACCTAACTTTTGAACCTCAACCAAGTCGTATGGTGGGAAAAGAAACTAAGGTGTTGAGAAACAAAGAGATTCCTCTTGTTAAGGTTCAGTGGGACAAATCATATCTAGTCGATGCTACTTGAGAACTTGAGTCAGAGATGCAGGAAGTTTACCTTCATCTTTTCCAGGTAATCTTTAAATTCGAGGACGAATTTTTATTTAAGGGGAGGAGGATATAATACCACGTATTTCCTTAAATAATCAAATTCATATCATTTGAGTTCAATTGAGTTCCTATGTACTCTGAAAGTTATCAGTTGGAATAAATAGAGTAACTATTGAGCTCATATTGACTTAATTAATATTATTTGAGACTGATCTTTTATTAATTGGTATAAAAAGAGACATTTTGATAACATTAATAATGAGTCATTTGCTATAGTAGAACAAATATATTAAGTATGGTACCACTTAACTTATATGTTACTAATATTACCATTACTTGTTCCCCATACAATTCTAGTAGCCACTTTATGACCACATGTTATACCACTTTTCTTACCAACATTTGTACCACTTTCGGAAGTATCAGTAGCTTTCCTAACAGAGAAATAAAAAGAGAAAAAAAAAGAGACAGAGAGAAAGAAGAGGAACTCGTGGGGACAGGAGAAGAGAGGAAAAAAGCTTTGAGGATCAAGGTATGGAATCACCATTTTCACTTCGTCTCATCATCTGGCAACAACAACTTATTCATAATTTCAAGGTGGGTTCTAGATAGACACCTCATGATTTCTAGAAATTAGTTTTTCTTTTTGAATCATAATATAGTTAGGAGAAACCCATGATAACATGATGAATGTTTTCTCTTGATTATGATAATTGCTATGAATAATGTTTCTACATGTTCTTCATGTATTACTTGTATTCTTGTGATTACATGTTGTTGTTGTTATGATTATGTGTTCATGATCTTGAGTAAATTAGGAAATGAATGTATGATGTATGGTGAAACTATGATATTGTTATGTTCTTAGAATTGGGAATGATGAAATTCATCGTGTGGAATGTTTGGACATGTTAGGAGGTGTTTATACATGGCTTAGATTGGATAAAAGTTGGGAAAATTGAGTTTTATGAGTGTTGGAACTGATTTTCGCGCTATGCCCAGCCTAGGGGCACTACGTGCAACCCCAACCGCTTCCTGGTGCTGCTAGCGCAGGGTCTTTGTTTTCCTGGCGCAAAGCGCGGATGATAGATTCATGTTTTCTCCATCTGCATTGCTTGTGGCGTAACTTGAGTTTTGTAACTCCGTTTGACACACGATCGAATGCGTTGGAAATATTTTTTAAAACTCTATATGATCATGATAATTTCTTACATGTTGTTTGTGAAAAATGAAAAATGATTTCTTTGCTTTATGTGTTCCTTATGATGTATATTGTGACATATATGCATTGATTTAACACTAATTGGATGAATTAGTAACATAGTTAGGATGTGATGAATGACATAGATGGTAATACTTGTACACAATGATACCTAGGAATGTGTCATGGATAAGTTGTTTAGATAAGGATGTTAGACATTGTATGGAACATGTTTTGTTGTTCTGAATGCTAAGGTGAATGTAATCACCTTGTGGTTGTCAAATACAATCACGTTGGGTTATGTTTAATCACGTAGTCAGAAACAACCCTTGATTGTGCCATCTCAAGTCATGATACTCATATAGCATAAGATTGGGATGAATGCATTGATACTTCGCATCAACCAAATGGGTTAGAGTCTCATATGTTCAACCAAATGGATTAGAGTCCCATAGAAGAATTTGAAGTGTTCAAGAAAGTCAAAGTATGATACAAGGAACCTTGACCCATGTCGATAATCCTAGACGTAGGGTTGGCCAGGGAAAGATACCTTGGTATGGTTTCCGATTAGTGATAGTTTGAGTTGATGAACTCAAGCTACATGGTTCCATGCATTGGATGCTTTGTGAAATCAAGTTTTTTTCCCCTTCGTGACTTGGGTTTGGATGATGATTAGAACCTTGTAGAGCCAAATGGACCCATAAGATAGGGAACCCACTGAGATTATTATCTTACCCTATATTTTTTGATTATTTTTTAGGTAGTTCTGATCAGGAGAAGGGTAAAGACAAGTTAGCATGATGCCATTGCTTCTTTTCTTGTTTTGGATGGGTTGTCCGCTGTAACGATATATTTAAGATCCTTCTATAGTGATCTAGTTCCTAGTTTTGTTTTGGGCACCCTTGTATATGTTGTGCCATAATTGTAGTATTATTTTAGGCATTTAATATGTACAATGTTGTCACTAGGCAATTATGTATTTCAGTACGAACATTACAGTTGTGTCTAATATGTAAATTCTAGACATGTATTATATATATGGGTGTTACAACTTCATCAAAGGAAGTAGGTTCAATAAAGGACACCAATCCTATAAGCATTTTTTCAGATGGTATAAATGAGGATCTGATTCTGATGGGTTATGTCTTATCTCCCATAATCAATTCCTCAGGATGTGAAGATCTTTGCCTTTGTTTCCTCAAAGGTGCTTGTGTGATAGCAACTTCTGATTCTGATTGAGCAATTTTGCGTTGAGAGTTTTCAGAGTTTTTTACTTTTGATTCCTTTCCTTCAGAGTCTAGTAGCTAATCTCTAAATCTGCAAACTTGTCTACTAGCTTTGACTTTTTCAAAATCAAGCTTATCATAAAACTTAACATGAATTGATTCCTTAACAATGCTTGTTTTAGTGTTATACACCCTGTAGCCTTTTGAGCATTCACAGTATTCTAACATGATACATTTTTGTGCTTTGAAATCAAACTTCTTTAAGTTCTCTTTAGTATTCAAAATAAAACGTGAACAACCAAAAAGATGAAAATATGAAATGTTGGATTTTTTGTTCTTCCACATTTCATAGGGAGTCTTACCCAAAATATGTCTTATTGAGATCCAATTCTAAATGTAACATGATGTGTTGACTGCTTCTGCCCATATGCCCTTTACAACATTAGTTTCATTGATCATGCTTCTGGCTATTTCTTGCAATGTGCAGTTTTTCATCTCTATGATTCCATTTCACTTAAAAGTTCTAGCGTAAGAGAAATCATAATTTATAATATACCATAGCGCGTCAACTATAATATACCATGGTATGACTAGGATTCGAACCCATGACCTTTATAGTTTTCACCACGATTGATTACTATGAATGTGGTGATATGTAGTGCGCTTAATAGTTTCTCACTTT